TCACTGAAATTTGTTTTATGACCCAGAAAATATCTGTTATGGTAGGTGCTCTGTGTGCTCTTGAGAACAAGTATGTTCCACTGCTGTGAGTAAAGAACCAAACCGGATCAGAGTAGCTGATGGTGAAATTCGCTTCCATCTGCCAGCTCCATTACTGAGAAAGGGCCGTTGCTATTTCTGACAGTGTTTGTGGGTTTCTCCACGTCCTTTCGGTTTCATCATTCTTGCTTCATGTACTTTGAAACTGCTGTTAGGTTTAAAGATGCTGACAGTTATTGTGTCCTATTTGTGAATCAAATCCTCTATGTCACTCTGTCATCGTGGTATTGTTATGGTTTCTGTCAAAAATGTCCCTAAATGTCTTGTGTATTTGGAAGGTGATTGGACCTAAAGGGAGCTGTGTTCATCAGGAGGTGGAGCCTGGTTGGAGGTGCTCACTGGGGCTATGCCTTAGAAGGCTGCATCTCCCTCCTTAGCTCCTCCCTGCTCTCTCTGCTTTCTGGCTGCCTTGAGCTTTCCTCCATGATGCCCTTCCCCTATTCCTTTTCAGTCATGGAACCAGCTGACCATGCGCCAAAATAAACCTGTCCTTCTTTAAGTCATTGGTGTCAGGTATTACAGTATGTCCCAGCGACGGGCAGGTGACTAAGAGAGATATCATATTATATGATATCTTTGTCCGTGGTATTTCTTTTTTATGGGTCTCTACTCTGATACTAATCTAGCACTGTGGGTTTCTTTTCAACCTTTTTAATATATTTGAGTCTACCCTAAGAGTGGGTTTCTTGTAGGCAGCATGAAGTTGGGTCGTTTTATCTCATTTGACAGTGTCTGCTTTTTAGTGGAGCATTTAGGCCAGAGATGGGCAGGCAGTCACCTAAAAGCCAAATGTGGCATGTAGTCTGTGTTTATATGACCTGTGAACGGAGAGCAATTTGTACATTTAAAGAGTTGGGGGAAATGAAAATAAGTGTGTAACACAGAGAGCTTATTATTTACTATCTGGCTCATTTCAGGAAATGTTTGCCAACCCCTGTTTTAGATTGGCTGATATGGCTGTGTATGAGTCAAGCTTCTTGATGCAGGTTCAGCGTCCCTTGTCTCAAATACTTAGAACCAGAAGTATTTGGGATTTTGGGATGTTTTCAGGACTTGGAATATTTATGTGCACATAACGGGCTTTGTGTGGATTCAAGTCTAACATGAAATTCGTTTGCATGTCATCTATGCCTAGTCACACAGCCTGAAGACAACGTCATGTGATGTTTCTAATGCACCTGTATTTTGATTGTCACCCGTCATTTGAGGTCAACTGTGGGGTTTTCCACTTGTGGCATTGTGTTGGATTTTGCAGGATTGCAGATGTGAAGGTTTTCAAATGAGAGATGTTCAGCCTGTATTAGTTTTCTTCTCATCTCATTAGGTTCCCCCATTCTTTTCCTTCTTTCACCCTCTTCTTTTTCACTGATTTGTTTCTCTTTTTTTTCCATCTCTGTATCTCACTGCAGTCTCCCCCACCCCTTCTCGACTAGGATGTTAACTGCAGCTCTTGTAGTAGTTCCTTGAGGGTTTACACAATAAAACTGTGACTCGGTCAGGAACTCGGTTCTCTCCACCATTCTGGTCGCAAACCAAACTGGCTGAGAGAGCCAAATCAGATTTCCCCATAATGTCAGCATTGAACCTAAGCATCGAATTTGATTGGGTCCTTGTCCAACTCAGTCTGCAGCCAGCGCACAGGGCTGAGGTAACACGGTGCATTTCTAACTTCTCACAGTGGGCCACTTCCTGTGACCTACGAGCCTGACAGCAGTGTCTTCTGCTTTTCCCTTTTCTTCTTTTCCCTATCGCTGTCATGCATATGTTATAGACAGCCAATACCTTGTCATTGCGTCTGCTTTAATTGCTCGGTTATCTTCTTACATAAATAAAATTAAAAACAAAGATCTTCTAACTGCCTGTACAGTCACATTTCTGTGTCACTGTTCCTTTATGTAGATCCAGGCTCCTTTCAGTATCACTGCTCTGTTGCTCGAAGGACTTTCTTAGACCTGTTTGAAATGAACTCTCAGCTGTGCACATCTGAAAATATGCTTCACCATCTTCATTTTTAAAAGATATCTTTGATGCTGTGCCTGCCTGGCAAGAGCAAGGTCCTTCGTTCGATTCCTAGTAGTAAAAAAAAAAAAAGACACCTTTTCTAGGTAGAGTTCTAGGTTGACAGGATTTTTTCCTACCCACTGCTTTCAAGATGTTGCTCTGTGGTCTTGTAGCTTACATTATTCCAGGCCTGAAATCTTCTGTAAAACTTATTTTTGTTCTTTTGCAAGTATTTTTTTTTCTTTCTCCTTCAGCTTTTAATGTTTGCTGTTTACAGCTGATCTTCAGCAAATTCACTGGGGTAATTCTGTTTTGTATTTCTTAATTACTGTATCTTTAAATATGTTTTCTCCCACCTCTTTCTCTCCTTTGAATCCTCATGATGTAACAGTGTAAAATGGCCCAGTATACCCATGCGATGTTTAGTTTTTCAGTACCGTGTTTTGTTTTGTTTTGTGTAGTTCCCACTATGCTGTCTTTAAGTTGATTCGTCTTTTTCCACAGTGTATACTGTGCTGTTAGTACCACCAGTGTGTTTTCCATCTTCTATGTTGCATCCAGGGGTTTGATTTAAGTATTTTAATATCTTCTTTGGCTCTAGTATGTTTCATGTTTCTGCCAGCCTCCTGAACAGAATACAGGGAGGTAACGGCCCTAATGTCCCGTCTGCTAACACTGGTAGCTCTATCATTTCCTGTTATATTTTAGTGGACTGATTTTTCTCATTATGAATTATTTTTCCCTGCTTCTCTATAGAAATTATAAATTGTATTTTCCTGCTTCTTTGCAGCTCGGTAATGTGGACTGAATGGCTATGACCCAACCAAATTTGTATGTTGAAATCTAATCCCTACCGAGACGGTATTTACAGATAGGCCTGTGTTAGTCAGCTTTCTGGTGCTGTAACAAAATCCCTGAGAAGAATCAATTTAAAGGAAGAAAGATTCTTTGTGGCTCACGGTTTCAGAGGTTTCAGTCCCTGGTCACCTGGCTCCACTACTCCAGGCCCGTGGTGAGGCAGAAGTGTCACGGTGGCTGGCGTGGCGGAGGAAATCTGAGAGCCTCACGGCAGCCTGGAAGGTAGAGGACAAGGAGGGAGAGCAGAGGGTGAGAGAGAGGAAGGAAGAGGAAAGGGCAGGGGCAGAGGAAGAAGAGAAGGGAGCCAGCTCGGTGGTCTTCCTCTTCCCCATCCTGGCCCCTACCTCCATCGACTGTGCCGCCCACATTCAGGCAGGCAGGTCTCCCTCGGTTTGCAGTCGTGTCTGAGACGCCGTCGCTGACTCACGTACCTGTGCACTCACTAACTTCCTGTGTGTTCTTCAGTGTGATCAAGTTGACAGTCACCATCAACCATCGCAGGGCCTTTGGGAATGAGGTGAGCACCTTTAGGCCCCTCACCCTTCCACCCTGTGAGGACACAGCAGGAAAATGGCTGTCTGTGAACCGGGAACCCCTCCTCAGGCACAGAATTAGCTGGGGCCTTGATCCTGGTCTCCGTGGCCACAAGGATCATGGAAAGTGGCGCTTGTTGCCTGGAAGGCTCCCAGGTCACTCTGTTCCATCATTACAGCAGCCCAAACCCTAAGACAGACATCTGGCAACTTTTTAATTACGTGCCAGACACTGAATTTTCCCTTGCTGATTGCTGAATATTTTTATTGAAAATACTCTGGATATTTGTTCTAGGTTGCAACTAAGTTCCTTAGAAAAGGTTTGTGCTTTTCTGTGTTGCTTTTAAGCTTTCTTAGGTAGAGTCAGACCAGCATCTCATAATTTTTCCCGTTACAGAGGAAAAGACCCCTAGGTGGCGCGTAAGTGCGTTTGCTGCTGTTGTCCTTCTATGGGAGGAACAGAGCAGACCGGTGGGGAGTGCACTCTCCCTGGCCCCCAGCCCATCCCAGCAAACCCTTTCACTGGCTTCCACCACTCTGGGACAGTTGCCATAGCCAGAATGGTTGTCAGGCAGTGTCCAGCGGGGATTGCTCTCCTGGACCCCAGAAGACACCAGAATTGGAGGATGCTCAGTCCCTGGTGGAAAATGGCGTGGTGGTGTTTGCATATAATCTATGCGCATCTTTCCTGTACTTTAAATTATGTCTTTGTGGTTTGCAGTACTCAATGCAACCCAAGTGCTACAGAGAGAGTCGCACTCCTTTATTGTTTGCAGAAGAAAAGTGGGGAAAGGGCGCCCGTTGGGGACAGACTTCCTCTTCCACGTTGTTTCCCGTCTGTGGTTGGCTGGACCTGGGGATCAGGACCAGTGGGCCAGGAGGCTGACTGCACACAGCAGAGACCCGGGAGGCCGAGGCATCGGAGTTGCTGTGGGCACGGCTCTCTCCTCGGCACAACTCTGCTCTGCCGACTCCCAGAGCCACAGCTGTCCCTGACCTCCATCTCGTCCCTTCCTCAGACAGCAGGAACTGGGATAGGGTAGTGCGCCGGGATGCCCGGCCTTCCCCTCATGTGTTACCATCCCCTTTTCTACATTTGGCCCAGTACTTTAGTTCCTTCAGCTGCGAGGGTGAAGCCAGCTTCCGACTCCCTCTTACCCGGAGCAGAAGTGGTTTTCGATGTCTTCCTGCTTCTCTGCCCTGGGGCATACTAAGGCCCGTTACCTCTTCAGCATTTTCCTGGCTAAAGCATCCCTATTTATAAAGAAAACTGTAAAAGAAAAAAGATCAGTGAGCACAGTGCAGAGACTTTTGCAACCTGAGAAAGTTTTAGCCAAGTCAAGGGTTCTTACCAAGCACTCAGAAAGATAAAAACGTAAGTGGTCAATAAAGCTTTTCTGGCTGTGCCCCCCACCGAAAGCAAAGAATGGCGAACCATGTGAAGTCAGACGGAAGACGCCTCTCTGGCAGGATGCTCAGGGCATGGTGCCAGTGCAGTCTTCCTCACAGGTACGTGGTCCACGGAGATCAGGACACTCGAAAGGAAATCGAGGCTCCAGAATAGGAACGAAGATTCCTGCACAGACTCTGTCTTCCCCCAGAAAACCCCACTGTGGCGGCAAATGAGAGGTCAGAAAACAGCTGGTCCAGCTGGAATCGGGTTTGTGCAGTCATCAGAACAGCCTGACTTAAACAATCTGGGGGCCCGAGATTTAGCTCAGTGGTTCCACCGCCTGCTTTGCAAGCTCAAGGTCCCGAGTTCGATCTCCAGTACCAAAAAGATAAATAAACAATCTGACTCTTACCCTGTGTGAGATGAAGATGGCTGATAAAACAGCCGTCTTTGCTTCTGGTTCCATCTTTGCTTTTAAAAGCCAATGCCTAGGAAAAGGAAGATACACGCACTGATGATTTCTGAGTGGTGAATTGATGAGTGTGCTTTTCTGTATTTTCAGCTTTCTTATAAATATGTATCACCTTGGTGGTAGGGAACAGCACTGTTTGTATTATTTAAAATGTATGTTGCTGTCTGCCTGATCCTGCCGGAGGCTGAAGGCGGACAGCCTTTCTCCCCAAAGACATTCACCCTTCCATGCCACGTGGCCCGTGGTCTGTGGGCCCCACTCCACCACTGCAGCAGCAGGGAGCCCGTGGGCCTCGCAGGGCCAAGTTCAAGTGTCCCTCTGAGACGTGGTAGTGGCAGCGTACTCGGCCAGAGGGTGTCTGTGCTGGCCTCTACCGCTGGCATCTGTGGTCCCTGTAACCACGGCCGTGGCCTCTTCTTTTTTCCAGGCCCTTGGAAAAACATAATAGAATTGCTTTTCACCAGAAAGTGCATCCTCTTTGCAAATAAACTAAGCCTGTTTCCTCTTTTCCTCCAGTACAGAGGATTAAACCCGGGGCCTTTGCATGGAGCTACATCCTGAGGGTCTTGCTAAGTTGCATGGGCTGGATTTAAACTTGGGGTCCTCCTGCCTCCTAGAATGCTGGGATTCACGTGTGCCGCTCTGGTCCCTTGTGCTTGGAGCTCCCATTAAGAGTGTGTCGAGCCAGCACTCTGGGAGGCTGAGGCGGGAGGATTACAACTTCAAACCCAGCCCAGGTAACTTAGTAACTTAGCTGGAAACCTGTCTTAAAATAAAAAGGGCTGGGGATGCAGCTCAGAGCCAAGGCCCTGGGCTCAATCACCACATCGCAAAAGAAAAGTGTGGGGCTTGGCAGGCTCACTGTGGACAGGGAGCTGGGGTTGGTTTTGTGAGGAACGTCTGCTGGCCAGCAGTGCCCGGAGCCTCTTTTCTACTCCTCCCCTCCTGTCCCTCCGAAGCAGCACAGCCCGCTCTGCCTCCCAGACACATGCGTAGGCTCTCGGGAGCACCGGCCTTCTACAGGGTCCCCGCCCCCCAGGGGCTCAGCACCCGCAGACACCAGAATACATTCTCGTCGCTGTGTGCAGGGCCCAGACCCTGAAGGCTGCGCTCCCCGGGCCCTCCCTCCGGACCGGACGGCAGCGCCAGGAGCCGGGCTGCCGGTCTCACAGCAGCGGCCCTGCTTTGTCTCCGCAGAGATTGCAGGTGGCCCCGTGTCCGAGGTTTCCGGGCCCTTCTCCACCGACGGCATCGCCAGCAACTGCGTCCCCGCCCCATCTCCCAGCGAGCCTGTGCTGTGGTTCGTCTCTTATGCGCTCCTGAGCGCTTGCGGGCTCATCCTCCTGGTGCTCATCATCCTGCTGCTGCTACCCATCCGCTGCCACCACGCACCCCGCGACCCGGAGGTTGTCAACGACGAGTCCTCCCTGGTCAGGCACCGTTGGAAATGAGGCACGGGGACATCAGAACCAGGCGACTGGATCCCAGCTCTTCCCTCCCGGGGCAGCAGGTGCCCAGGAGTAGGGCAGGGCCCTTCGTCCGTGGGTCGGGAAGCTCAGTTCTGCTCCCAGAGGCCTCCACATTCACTGTATCTCGATGAGTCTTGATTTTAAGCTTCCACTTTGTCCTTCCTATTTCCGAGCAAAAAAATGATAATAAAAAAAACATGCCTGGTTCTAAACCAAGACAGAGTGGATTGGGCTTCAGCTCAGGGCACAGTAGAGCCAGACTCCCCCGACGGCTGCTCCAAACACGCAGCGGCCTGAGCTCAGTGTCTGTGGTTCCTAATCCGGCTCAGCTGACAGGTGTATTAACCGCATTTCAGGGCAACCTGTGCCGGGCTGACCCGGGTCGGGTGGCATGGAAGGCTCCCGGTGATGATGGAGAAAGCAGCCGGGGGTGCCCGGGGGTGGAGCTGCCTTGCTCCCTCCCCAGCCCTTTGGGGGCCCCTGGGTTCTGGATGGGGCAGCGTCCTTGCCAAAGCCTCAGCCCAGCCTCTCCAGCAGAGGGAAGGCCTGGCCCTACGCAGAGGTGGGATGGGACCACAGCCAATCCTTCTGCACCGACTCCTGTGGCTTGGTGGGTGGAAAAGTAAAAGCACTACCTTTGGGCAGCGGTACCCCACCCCGGAACGTCTGTTACCAAGCTGGGCGGGACCACCTAACTTACTCTTCTGTTGGTGGGGGAATCGGACTTGCATTTGCAAGGCAGGCGCTATGCCACTGAGCTAAACCCTGGCCCATAGCTTACTTTTGCTCTAGATTAAATGGTGCTTTGTGAGGAACACAAAGCCTGTGTCACCAGTGTCGTTTCTTTCCCCAAATCCTCTGCAGAAGTGGCTGGTTCTTACCCTCTGGGGGACAGAGAAGTGGCCGGGCCCCCTGGCTTTGACATGGTCAGGGAGGAAGCTCCCCTTGCAGAGCAGCCGACTTCTCTTTGGCGGTGAGGTTCAGTACTGTCCTTACTTGGGGGATCGCACCTGCTCTCAGTTATGTGAGGCCTTTGCCAAGGAAGGGTGGCGCCTTCAGCTTGGCATCGCCAGCCTGGTGTGGTCCCCGAGGCAGTGCCTCCCCTTGGCTTCAAGAAATCGTGGCCCTGAAGTAGCAGGAAGGGTGAGGAGGTGAGGCCCGCTAGTTCTTGTTCCCCAAGTCCAGGACGCCAGCTAAGCCCCGTTGCGGGAGGGCCTTGGATGGACCTCGGCAGCGCTCTGTTCTGCGTCCAATTTCTCTACCTTTGTGTCTCAGGAGCCATTGGGTGTGACGTAGGAATAGGACTCTTAAATTTACAAAAATGTCCCTTAGCGACAAGAACAAACTAGACAATTGAATTGGACACATTTCCCTGGTGCGCCTTGCTGCTGAGAATTACCAGCTTGGAGTCAAAAGTGCACTGGTGGCACCTGACCTCCCGGGCCAGCGTCCATGTGTCCATTGCGGGGCAGAGCCTTGCTTTGAATGGAAAAGGCAGTGGCGACCCCTTCAGGGAGTTGTTTCCCTTTGCAGCTCACCGCGGAAAGTGCTGGAAGAGCTTTCGGAAGCGCTCTCAGCTCTGCAGTGGGCAGTCTTCATTTAAATGGGGCCTGCTTTTTCTTCCTGATAACTCACTTAGAAGTTGGAGGTGAAATCCTGCCTCAGACACTTTATAAAAATACTCAGAAATGAGACAGGGTCCGGTCCTGTTATCACCCCACCCCGGGATTTCAAAACCACACAGTGAGGGGCGCCGGAGCTCCTGGTGTAAAGGACGGAGCAGCGCACCCCGCACCCAGGCATTATGGAGGACTTTGCCTGACCGGTCCTGAAAGCCAGAGATCTCAGTCGGAGATAGACTTGGAGTCAGCCCGTGCCTTACTGGAGTCGGGCAGGGAGCTCTTGGCCAGACAGCGTTAAGGGCCCCGTGGAACTCGGGGTGCCTGACTCTAGGAGGCAGTTGTGTCCTGGGCTTCCATTCTCTCGTGTGAAAGATGAAGAGGGATTATTTTATTCCTTAATTAAAGGGGGATTTATTAAATTCCTCTCACCACAGCCCCGCTCAGCAGAGCCGACATGCACGGCTCGGTCCCGAATTCTGGCCTCCTGCCACAGGCGTCCCTGGGAATAAGTCACTGCCCAGCAGTCACTGGGAATAATTGAGTCACACAGACTTAATGCTTATGAGTGGAAACCAGATAATTGGTTGAAATCCCGTGTGTTTTCTCTTGCACAAACTTCTTAGAATTGATTAGAGAACCATTCAGAGGTAACATTGCCACTAGAATATTTTTAAGGCAAAAACAAACACCACAAAATTTAAAACTGTGGGGTTTGCCAAGAGAGACGCTACGTTTTTAGTGCCAGGAAAAGTACATAACAAATTATTTTGTACATCTCTCTTGGACTTTAAGAATTTCAGATTTTATTTTAAGGCAGTTTATAAATTAAATAGCAATCCAGAAAAATACATTTTAAGAGTGGGGGAAGAAAACAAAAATGCAGTGAAAAGTATGCTAGAAAAATCACCAGTCTTGGGAAACACTCTCCAAACATCTACAGATTTCTTTTACCTTTAAGGTTGCTGAACCTGCTAGAGATCTGGCTGATTTCAGAGCCACAAGCCTCCAGTTTCAAGCACATGCAAGCCGGAATCGTGCACGGAGGTCAGCGCTGACCATATGAGCAGTATGGGCTGCGTGCTGGGGCATCACCCAGGCCAGCGGGGGCCGGTTCACTCCAGAGTTAAGGACTGTGGGGACTCGTAAAGGGGCAGGAAGGATCCAGAAGACAGCCTGCTCCACCATGGTCTGGACGGCCTGGACACCCCAGGACACTGTGGACAGCTCTCTTCACCCCGAGTGTTTAGCACACCCTGTTCTTGAGGGATTTTCCCCACGGACCAGCCTGACCACCCATTGGTCAAAGAGGAAGTGGTAGGCAAGGGGAAGTTGGTTTCACCGCCATAGCCAGGCCATGGCTGTTGTCGTAAATCTTAGCGGCACCTGGACTCCTTGAGCAGGACACGGGCCTTAGGGTGGAAGCACACAGCTGTGTCCTGGGAAGTGTGTAGGGCAGATGACGGAAGCCCGAGGGGTGTCACTGGTTCCCTTTGGAGTCTCAGCACCGGGAAGGGGACAGTCCCTGCCGTCAGCCTCCACAGCCTCCTCGCAGAGTGGTCCTGGGCCGCGGCACCCTAACCAGAGCCAGGAGGTCCCCACTCGCACCCAGTCCTGCTCAGCCCCAGCATGGGAGGCCCAGGAGTCCTCACAGTGGACACACAGCTCAGCCCTTGGGTCAGGAAGTTGGCAAGGGCCACCAGGGCTGGGTGAGGGCCGTTGGCCACATTGCGGAAGGTGGGGGACAAAGCAAAGCAGAGCCTCCAGGGGTTGCATGGTGCCCTGGCTCCTAAACAGCACACAGGAGGCACCTCAAGGCTCCCTGATCAGTTCAGATCCAGCCCGCGGCCACAGATCTCGTCTCTGGAGAGCACAGCCTCAGAGGGAGACCAACCTGTGCCTACGGCAGGGCTTGAGCGTCAGCCAGGAGAAGTAAAGCGTGCCAGTGCGCTTGCAGGAGGCAGCGGGACCATACACGGTGTGGCTGGAAGATATGGCGAATGTTTAAAAGTCTTTAAATTTATGACAGTAAAAGACTGTTGCTGTCAATCTCCCTCAGAATCCTCTTTTTCACTTTGAACACAGTCATCCCATCCTGGCCACTTTCTGAAGCAGCTCTGGAGCCCTCTTTCCCGAAAGTTTTTAGTTTCACCCTTGTGGCTGCATCAATGTCCTGAATTGATTCAAAACATTTCATTCAAAAAAAGATTTCCCTGTCACGACCATTTTGACTCTGGGGAAGAGCCAGAAGTCACGTGGTGCTGGATCAGGTGACTCAGATGGAGGAGGACACAGCACTGTGTCTTTACGAGCTGCCTTTCCATTGGATGGCGCTCCAGCAGCGGTCCCCATACTTTTAATCACAGCTCATAGAGACCCTCGGGGAAGAGGACTCCAGAGATGCTGCAGAAAGTGACCAGGACATGGGATGAGGGTGTTGGAAGTGGAGGTATATGGGGGGATGAACAAATTGAAGTAAGGTTCTTTTAATCTATATTTAAAAAGCACACAATAAAATTTCTGAACAATTATGCACTCTCATGGCTTTTGTTGGTATGAGTGTAAAACTGGGTTTTGGATTTTTCTCTCTTTTCCTAATTGCAGGTGTAATGTGGAATAGCAGTGACTCCCTACATGGGAGAGCACAGAGGGTTTGCTGATTAAAAGCTGGCTTTCTGTTACCTGGAATGTTGATTTTTCTACTGTTCCTGTTCATTGCACTGTTAAGAGTTCCAGAAGTTTAGAATGTCGTGTCCAGGGTTGATTGGAGCTGCTTGACTTTCCTTTAAGAGGCAGACAGGTCCCGGTTCCAGTGGCGAAGCTCAAGCCAGATGCTGCATTTTTCAAAGATCCCAAAAGTACTGCTCTGCGGAATGTATTCTGTGTGTGTCTTGGATTTACATCCTTTAATACATGATCCATGGATGTAACTTTATTTCTGAAAATGCCTAAGATGATTTTGGAAGTCTGCTCTATTTCCGGTACCCCGAAGTAACTTTAAGTAAAATAATCAGAGCGAGAAGTCTTGGTCCCTCCCTCTCAGAATAGCTCTTCAGAGATGGAGTCCCAACAACTGTGCCCTTTGAAACTGCAGTTTTCTAAAATAATCTTATTGTTATACTTGTCCCACTGATTTCAGATGTATGCCATTGAAAATGAAATAAACCATGTTCGATTATTTGAATAAAGAAGACTTCCGACTTGTTGGACTTGGGACCTTGTTTTTTACAACTCATCTCCTCAGTCACACTTTAAAAACTGCCCCAGGTGCCACAGCATCTGCCTGGGTGCCGGGAGACACCAGACCAAGCCGCACAGAGCAGGGCTGGGCCCAGAGATTAAGACACGGAACTTTTGCTGGAAGCAGCCGGCTGCTCTACTCCCATGGACCCTGTCGAGATGCTTTTCCCGTTACCAACGAGACCAGCTCCGAGGAAATGGCTGGAAAAGTGTGCACGCTGCGCATGGAACCAGCTCTGTCCCCGCCAAAGCCGAGCTCTCTCCATACCCACAGTCTCCCGCGCACATCCCAAGCCCGGTCCTCCGGGGCCTGGCACGCGCTGTGTGGGGTGAGGACCCAGCCGAGCCGTTCAGTGTCTATGGCCGGCACCGCTTGGGTGCGGCACAACACCAGCAATTCGACAGTCAGCCAAGAGACTGCACGCCAGCCCTCAATCTTACTCCTCAATAAGTACACCCAGGGCCTCCGAGTTACATCCCCAGCCCTTTTTTATTTTTATTTTGAGATCAGGTCTTACCGAGTTGCTCACACTAAGCCTGAACCCTCCTGCCTCAGCCTCCCAGAGTGCGGAGATTACAGGAATGCACCAGCACACGGGCTCACTTTCTTTTTGACATTACCCAGGTAAAGAAAAAGAACAAAGCAATTTAAATAAACCAGTCCTCATTTGCAGCAAGCAACAGTTACTGGAGAAGCCAAACAATACTCTTCCTAGTAACCATGGAAATACTTTGTTTTGAGTTTAGTTTTCTAAACTGGAGAGTCCAGGGAACCCACTCTTCATCCCTGAGCAGCCTTATGGGTGTGATGCACGAGTCCGTCACCAGGTGGTGCTGTGGGGATGCTTTGTGGCTCCGGTTTTCCAATTTTTTTTTTCTTTCACAGGCAGCCTTCATCTTGTGGGTGCGAGCGTGCGTGTGTGTGTGTGTGTGTGTGTAAACCATGTCCCCAAAAGTGTCAGAGGATTCCCATTCCTCCGCTGGGCTCCTTATGGAATCAGGAAGACTTGCAGGAAATCCTAGGAGTGACCCCAAGTCCGCATCTCCAGCCCTGGCTGGAACCCCCCAAGGTGCCTGGCCTCTCCCTGTCAATGGTGCGGTACAGATTCAAGGCAACACGATTTTTTGTTATAGGATCTGAGATCTCAACTATTATTCTATGCCTTTGTGAGGCGAAGAATGGGAAATTGACAGGAAAATTATGTTTACAAATTCACATCACAAATGTGCTGACACCCAAGTACCACCAGGCGGAAATATTGGCGGCAAACATGAGGATGGAAACCATAGTCACCAGGCAGCGGTTCTGTCCATGCGCTGTGACATTCCGACCTCAGAACAGCAGCCACCTGGTCATACTGTCACCGGATGTTCTGTAAGCATGGTGTGGGGGGACGGGCCCGAGAGCTCGGCTCCGGAAACCAAGGGGAACGCTCAGGGTTGGGAGGAATCCACCCAACGGGGTGCCGCCCCGCAGGCCAGGGTGCAGGATAGGAAGCAGGGGCCACCTGTCTGTCAGCCCCGGGGGGGTGTGCAGCGCTGCCCAGGTCTGACCCTCCCACGCAGATGCTCTGACGGCCAGGGCCAGGCTAACCTTCCAGGCCGCCCAGGTCCGCAGGCTGGAAGCCTCACTCCCGATGCAGCCAGTGCCCAGCCCACCCCGGGCCGCGTGCGTCCAGGCAGGGACCAGGCAGCAGCGCTGGAGCCCACTGAGAACATCCGAGTGGCCAGGCCCAGGCTGGGGCCATGGAGCAGTCACCATCGACTTGTCCTCCGGCTGCTGGCTCTGTGCGTAGCTGACAACTCTGGTCACTGAGCATCTGGCCTCGTGGGTCCGGACCTGCGATGGTGCAAGGACCCTGGATGCTTGGGCTGCTGCAACTGTCAGGGGAGCACTAGAGTGAGAAGGGAGAGAGGACGGGAAGTGCAGGCAGCTCCCGAAGCATCAGCACCCAAAGGGGATGCTGCACAGCGTCTGTCACCCCGCGTCACCACCCACATTGGCAGACCCAGGAGCAGATCCCACAGCCCGCCCGTCACAGGGCCCTGTGCGAAGCCGGGGACACAGCGGCCTTTCCAGCGTGCGACCCTCCACCTGGCCACTCTTCACGTCAGCCGAGCAAGCAAAGCTGGAGGACGGCTTTAGGTTTCTCCTGCTATCAGTTCCTTTCCTTTACACGCATTCTGGTTTATGGTTTCGTGTTGGAAAAATCACCAAAGTAGAGAAGCTACAGCCGTGCCAAAAAGGAGGCTGCCGTTTTCACCGGGAGTTTATTTTGTTGTCCCCCACATTGTGTCCCAACAGCATGATCCCTGACCCTCTCGTTTCCCCAGAGAGAGCCTCATTTTTAAGGAGTCTGGGCTCCAAGTCCCTCTTCCTAGATAACTTGTAAGGCTGCAGTGTGCGCAGTCCACACTTACCTTGGCGGTTACCAAGGGGGCGGTACGAATGCACAGGCCCTCGGCTTGGGTTGGGTTGGGATCCCTGGGTGAGTCAGCTTGACTTAAAAATGTTGCAGCCTCGAAGATGCAGTGTTACAAGCAAGCTAAGCAAACACGGGCTGGAGATTAGGAGACGCTTATTGATAGAGAGATGCTATACAATAAGACAGGCCCTTGCCTTGCCTCCACACAGAAGGTTTTGTTTTGGAAATGTAAGTGCTGCTGGGCTCCTGCCCAGGGTATGGAAATGGTTGTGGCTGATCTGCGTGACCTTTCAGGAATGCTCTGTTAAATTCAGCCCCCTCTCAGGAGTGTTCTGTAACTCCACCCCTCTGGCTCAGGAATGTTCTGCAATGCCCCGCCTCCCCACTTCACTGAGCATGCTCACCTGCCTTGTAGATCTCTGTATAAGAAGGCTCTAGAGCGCCCAGACTCCTCTCAGCCTGCTGGGACTCTTCAGCATAATGAAGGTTTTTTTTTTTCCACCTCTTCAACTGACCGTCACATCCTCAAGTCTTCCAATTATGAGAGCTGTAAAGCTCAGCTGTGCCTCAGAGCTGTGGCCCTTGGCTGTGACACTGAGCTGTAACACGCGACTACAGCCCTGAGCTAAGTCACCGGAGAGCAGAGGGCTTAGGGCTAGGCTTGTCTGCAGTGCCTTTGTCCACACTGGTAATTGTGTGCCTTGTCTTGTGTGACCCCTGATCGACAGAACTGTTTCACCAGCATATTAATCCTCCTCGGCCTGATGGAGGTCTGTTATAAGGAGTAACACTTTCACAGAGTGCTGTATTAATTGGCCTCCCTGGCTCAGGAAGCAAGGTTACTTGAATGTCACCATATACCCAGCCTTGTATCATCTTTGGGTCCCAAAATTGCTTTTATCCACAAACATCTTAAGGTTTGGAATTTTTATAACAGTTCTGTTAGATCGGGCTTAGAAGCACTCAGGATGAGCCCATCGGGCGCTCGGGCAGAAGACCTTCCCTTCCTGCCCTCGGCTCCCTGGTGCTGGCCCCTCCGTGCTTTCCCCGCAGGTCCTCGACTTCTCCGAAGGCATCACTGGTCCGCCATGCTGTAGCTGGGTTTCACCGCAGAGCTGTTAGTATAGTTGTTGGTCCTATCGGGTCCACACTGGGAGGAACTGAGTGACAACTGGGATTCAGCGTTGTACCCCTTTGGGTCACATTTGAGCAACAAGGAATGTAGGGGTGGCCCTCGGGGTAACCGTAGCTGGAGTCCACCAGGTTCCATCTTCTGTGTCCCTCGGGGGACGTCCATCATCCTAAAACACTGGGTTAGATCATTTTGCTAACAGAGCTCTTTCTGCAGAATTCTGAGAGGCAACAGTATAAAGTTTTAAAAGAAAAATAAACTCTGGAGACTGAGGCAAGTTCAAAGCCACGCTGGGCTAGTGAGCTCAATGCTAGCCTGGGCTACGTAGCAATAACCTGTCACAAAAACTGAGTAACTAAAATAAAAAGGAAACTATATAACAAAACCAAGAGCAAAACGAACTCCCCTGCAACCAAGGACCACGACCTTTCACATGCCAGTGTTTATCAGAGGTGAAGGAAGACAAGTTAGTAAAAGCCAGTTGAGCTTCACCCTACAGCTGTACCCAAGTACAGCTTCACCGGGTCAGTCTCTCCTGTAATCGAACTGCAAGCTTCAGAACAGTCAGGCATCTTGCTGAGAGCCTGCCACTGCGCGGTAACAGCTGTGTACCTCTCAGTAGCGTCATAGTCACCTGGTCACAGTTGGGCGTTTCAAACACACAAAATACAATAAGAAGGTGACACTGGGCGCGTCGCTCAGGCCACCAGCAGCTCCTTGAAAACACGGCCCCCTGAGCCGGACACCCCAGCATCCCCCGTGGGAGCCAGAGCCGCGCACCCAGCACAGCCAGGGTGGACAGGGCAGGACAGCGGGAAGGACCAGCCAGGCCCTGCTGCGGCGCTCGTGGTGCCTGGGGAGATTGGCACCTGCCTGGTTTCATCAGTGGGTACAAACCTGCTGCAGGACTGGGGGTTGGCGGCGCTGTCTGGTCCCCGCCTGGACTCAGGGCACCTGAGTCCTGAGCATAGGGCACAGTGCTAACAGCCGGGCAGGCGGGTGCCGGCAGACAGCAGCAGGCACGGGATCTCGCCCTGCCGAAACCCAAGCCCAAGCCACACAGGGGCTCTGACGGGTGGATGGGTGCTACTGCCAGTGAGGACGGGCCGGGCCCTGAACACTCACTGCATGCACATGGGCTCCTGGGTGGTCCTAGCCGGTCGCCCTGATACATCCATCCTTCTGGGGAGCTTGAGTCCCCACTTTCCCATCCTCCTGTCCAGGCACCACCAGGAAAGCTGCACCAAGAGCTGGATCCGCCTGGTGCCTGGGTCCCAAACCCCTTTCTAGTGTCCCAGGAAGATGGGCAGGGCTGGGGCTGGGTTAGGAGGGAACCTGGGTGACAGGGCAGGATGGTGGGTGGCAGTGTCAGCAGTGCAGCACCTGGGGCAGCCCTTTCTCGGAGCTGCAGGCCACAGAAGCCTCCATGTGCCCCAGGCCCTGAGCTCTGCAGGTGACAGGCCACAGGAATAAGGCTCAGGGCACCACCCATCATGGCCAGGGACAAGTACGTGTCACCAAGCCACCTGTGTGAAGCTGGTGGAGCTGACCCAGGATCCAGGTCGCCGAGCCCAGGCTGGGAAGAAGTGAGGCCAGTGACAGGAACCAGGGTCCAACCCCAGCCTGTTGCCACTGTCCAGCTAACCTGAACCCCAGCCCCCGCTGGGATGTGCAGTGGAGACGGCCTCTGCTTTCAAGACCTCTGTAGACAGCACACCTGGGCCCTCAGCCCTCCTGTCCAGATGCTCCTGGACCCTCTGGGCCCGCAGTGCCCTCACTCAGGGCTCCCTCAGAAGGACACAGTTTCGGGCCTCTCCTGTCTGCAGTCCCCAGGCCTGTCCCTCTCCCCCCCACAGACCCTGGGCACCGAGGACCGGAGCCGGCTCTGGGGGGTCAGGAGAGCTGAGGCTGTGTCGCCATCTCCCAGCCCTGGTCACCCACACAAGGCGAGGGATGGAGAGTCCCTGGGATGACAGGGCTCACAGCCCGGTGCCTGCTCAGGCAGGTCCCTGCGGACTGATGGAAGACCCAGAGACCGTTCGTCCAGGCAAGAAGCTTTATTAGCGAGGGAGGCAGCGCTGCAGCTGTAAGCCTGGGCTGGGGACAGAAGGAGCAGCTTTTAGTTGCCTTTCTGCAGCCGTGTAAACCTAGATTCCAAGTGAGGCCACTCCCTCTTCTGTCAAACCCCAGTCCTCATCCATCCTCCTGGTCCCCAGGGCTAAGGTGAAAAGCAGAGACCTCGCCCCTGCCTGCTGAGTGTCTGCCGAGAGCCTCCCCAACCCCGGCCAGGGAGCCAGGTCAGCCCGGGAACTTGGCCAGCCTGCGCCGGGCCTGGCCCAGCCGCTCCAGCCGCGCCTTCAGGTTCTTCCTCTTCTCGGCGCTGCTGAGCCGCTCCTTCAGGAGCCAGGCGCAGGGGTCCTTGTCCTGCAGCAGCTGCAGCATGGCGCTCTGCAGCCGCTGGCCGAGCATCCGCAGGACGTGGTACTGGACGATGAGGGGCACCTGTCTGCCCAGGCTCCCTCCGACCTCCTGGAAGGGAAGCACAGGTCACGGGAAGGTTCCCAGGAGGGCCCTGCTCGCCCCACATTCGCACTGCCTGAGCCTGGGGAGAGCACCCCATGCCTTCTCGGGTGGGCCGAGCCTCCGGGTCTGCGGCAGCTGAGTGTGGGCCCTGACAGCCCCGGGCAGGAGCCTGGGTCCCAGCGTGGACAGAGTCCCCACCGCCCCTCGTCCTGCCCCCCCATCCTCTGCGCTCCTCTCTCTGACACACGCTGACCTCAGGACTGTGACACGTGCTGGTGGCCCAGAGAGTTCTGCTGCCCCCGTGAGACTCAGTTTCCCTCTCTGGGAAGCAGGAACAACCTGGCCACAGTCCTCCCTGGATGGTGAACCACTGTGAATGTGTCACCAGCACCCGCTTGGGAGGAGGCCAGGCGGTGACCAGCACCCACGTCTGTCCCTGCAGGTCAGCGAGAGGGAGCCGAGCATGGGACGAGGGCTCTGGGACCAGAGGGATCTGGGCAGGGAGGAGAGGAGCCGGCGAGAGCAAAGGGCGGCTCCTGGGAGCAGAAGCCTGGGGCGGGGACGCAGACACAGCGGCAGGAAGGAACTCTGACCCGTGTGGCCACAGGGAGGACCTGGAGGGCACCAGGCCCAAGACACCAGCCAGCCCTGCGCTGAGGCCCAAGGGCCAGGTCCCGGCTGTCACCTCCCCGTGGGCCTGCCAGCCCAAGGGCCAGGTCCCGGCTGTCCCCTCCCCGTGGGCCTGCCCGGGAGGACTCCTGCTCTGAGTCTTGGATGGCCGAGGGCTGTGTGTCCCCACTCTGGGCCACCCGCTGCCCCAGGACCCACAGGGGGGTGGCGCTGGGCTATGGCGCCTCTGCCCTGCAGCTCGGGCCCACTCAGGGCCCGTGTGCCCCCCAGGTGCCCCCGGGATCGCCCACCAGGGAGCCACGCAGGTGCCCGGTGACCCAGAGATGCCCCCATCCCCTGTACAGACCCTTGAGGTCCCCAGCTGAGCCCAGATGCCCATGAGCGCCACTCCTCCACCCCCTAGCAATGTGCAGTGTGGCCAGCAGGGGGAGCCAGGAAGAAGCCGGCTTCTGCTTGGTGAGCACCAAGGCTTCCCAAGGCAGTGCTGAGGCCCAGCCTCGTCCCTGGGAAAATGCACAGGGGCAGATGCCCTGTTGTATACGGGAGCTCAGGCTCAGAGAGGCCAAGTCACGGGCCAGGGCCTCACGGCAGTCAAAGCCAGGTGTGTGGACTCTAAAACCCCAGCGTCTATCAGCTGAGGTGGGCTGCTCCTGGGGGCCACACCCTGGGCTGGCTGACGGCCACCTGCACCCACAGCCCAGACAATGGGGCTCTCGGAGGGAAGGGGGACGGGGGAAGACGCCTGCGACGTGAGCACACGCACCTGGCGGTAGGCATTCAGGTGCTGGAGGATGTCGGCCACAGCAGAGTCCTGTGGGACAAAGCCCAAACTCTTGCAGGACGTGGAGGGAGCTTTCTCCCTGACCTTCTGCAGGGCGCCCCGGTAGGCCTGGTCCTGGCAGTACACGATTTGCTCCATCCGGAAGTGAAGTCGGATCGCCTTCTCCGCCGCTGCTTCCTCGTCCCACCGGATGTCTTCAATTTTGTTCTGCAGGAAGAGAAACCGGACTATAGACCAGAAAGTGAATCCGCAGCCCGGAAACAGGTCCCCCAAGAAGCCCGGAGCAGCGGCCACCTGGCTGCATGTCTCCCAGTGCTGTGGGCAGCCCCCTGGGCTGCCTGCCCTGTCCTTAGCCAGGACTCAGTTTCCCTCTGCTCCCTTGTGGGTTTGCTGAGGGGAGGTGATGGCATCCCGCAGGGAGTGCCCGGGGACAATCCTGGCACCGCTGGAGTCAATCCCACCCCACATGGTCCCTGGCCCTAGCTTTCCAGGCCACTGAGGCTTTGCCCAGAAAGCACCCGCTGCCTGTGAGGCTGGTCACTGCCCCCTCAGGGATGTGGCACTTGTGCATTCAGGGCCCTGGCCAACAAGGTGGCCACCCTCGGCCTCGGGCTGGAGGCCAGCAGAACCTGGGTCCGCTCTGGGCCAGGAGCTCGGACCTGCCTGTGGGGACCTTAGTGCGCAGACCTGAGCACCCGCATCCCTTCTCCTGCCCACAGTCCCTGATCCTGCCCTGAGGCCCCTCGAGCATCGGTGTGGGGACCTTTTCTCCCATGGGATAGAGTCTCCACCCCAGGTCCCCACTTCCAGAGTTTTCCTTCGCGTCTCTCACCCCTGCTCTAACCCCACACTGCTGGGCGCCATGGGAAAGACTCCCCTTGCAGACAGGATGCCTGAGCGGAGCTCAGGGCAGGAAATGATGCCCTGCTCCTGGGGAATTTCTGCTGCCTTTTCGGCAGGTCTTGGGGTTCACCTTGCAGGCCGTGTGCAGGTTAAAAAACCCACTGAAGTTCTTTTCAGAGGCCGCAGTGAAGGCATCTCGAACCATGTCTGATCAGAGAGGGAGAGAGAGTCAGCACTGACCGCAGCTTTTCACTCCGTGTGGACAGAAACACGCGCATGTGAACCCGATCAGAACCGCAGCGTCCCCTCCCCGCCTCCCATCTGCCCCACCTGCTCCCCAAGAAGATGCCCTCTCCCCACAGAGCCGCACCCCTGGGGTGCTCAGCCCAAACACACACCCCCTCCGCACAACTCCTGCGAACTTCCATGCAGGTTTTGTCTGGAAAAGGTCTTTTCTCATAAATCACAGACACGTGAACATTTAAAATGAAACCAGCACATCGGTCTCTCATTCATTGACAGAACCTGTGTGTCCTCATTCGTTTGAAACAGAATGGCAAGAACTGGCGGGTTTAAATGAAACAGTGATATCGTGTTATTTAAGTCTCGCGTCTACTCTGCTCTTATGACGCTGCTATTGCATTGCCCAGTGTCCTTCTTCAGCTCCCTGGCCTTTTACTGATGCTTGGGTCACAGCTCTCTGAAAAGCGGTGTCCGCACACTGATTGTTAACTTTGTTGTGTCTCTGTGCATCTCCATGTACTGCAAACCCCTCTGGGAGGAAAAGGCAAGCGTGGAAACGAGGGAGCAGGTGCATCACTCTGTAGCCCCGAGGTAAAGGCACTGGACACACCTGCACAGAGGCATGGGGTCCGCCCTGACCCACCCTCCTGGAGCCATGAGGCCTGGGCTTACTGAAACCAGAGCGGAGGTCTGGGAAGGAGGCAGGCAGGGACCTGGGCTTCCATCCAGGAGGCCACACACTTCGAGAAGGGGTGAGCGGAGGGTGAGATGCCGGTCTCCCTTGGGGCCTCAGACCCTGCCTGGCCACAGGGACGCCCACACTAGCAGAGCCCAGGGCATGGACACCCCCTGAGGCAGGAGACACCGGATCTGCTCCCCAGGCATCAAGTACACAGCTCCTCCGGAGTGATAGGAGCACCCCGTGTTCCATGGCGAATAGGAGGAGGCTGGTCGCCATATGGACGGGTCAGAAGCAGGGGCAGAAAGCTGGGATGGAGCTGTCACTCCGCCCTCCCAGAAACCCCCCAGTGTCCGAGTTCACACAGAACACAGCCCCACTACACAGTGACACAGCGCTGGATCCTTATTACACCGGGACACGTCCCGTGACACACCAGGAGCCCTGTAACACACCAGGACCCTGTGACACACCAGGACATGTCCCTGCAGCACATCCCAGGGAACAGAAACCTGAGCACAGGGTGGGACCCGGATTACAGAAGGTCACTGGGGACTTGGGTGGCCTTGCGACCTCTGGACGTCTTGGGGACCGAGCCCTCACCGCACCAGGGTACACCACCCCCAGTACTGTCAGAACCGTGACCTCTGGGCCAGCCTGGCATCTGGGCATCAAAGAACAGGTGTCCAGCTAGCACAGGCCCCAGGAGGGCTCTGAAGTCCGGCTGCCTTCGCTGTCCCTTCCCAGCCACGTGGAGCCCCGCTCACCAGTGACCGTGTGCAGCAGCTCCACTGCCGGCTCCTCCAGGGCCTGGACCTGGCTTTTCATGAACATCTCAAATGTCCTGTAGTTCACAAACCCAGGCAGCTCTCTGCCACGTTGCTGTTTTTCAAACTGCTGGACTTGACGTTGTAAATCATTATAACCTACAACAGGAAAGGGTAGCTTGGCATTGTTTTACAAAAACAGAGTTGTGATAATCCTACAAATCCCAAATATCAACCCCCGATCAAAAATAAATCTTGATTTTCAAAGGGACCACGACCCTGGTACTGTCATAAAGAAACCAGAGCCAGCGGGCCGGGCACAGCGGAAAGGGCAGCACTCAGGCACACGGTTCCTGGAGAAGCACTCAGTGCAAATTTCAGAAACCTGGGGAGATTTTATCAAAGTCAAAGGGTTGGGACAGCGCATGCTCCTCAACCCGAGCCAGGGGCCTGGAGGACGCAGGATGACCCTGGGCACCAGCTGGGGCCACTGCAGGTCACCTACTTCCATTGTGGAAGAGCAGGAAGTGACCCCCTCGCCGGGACACATGGTAGGTGGCTGTGGAGACCCCATGGGGGCACAGAGGGGCCCTGCCTCCCACTCCTGCCCTCGGGACAGGTAGCCCAGCTCCCCTTGGGATGGGAGAGATTCCCCACGGGAACTTCACTATGGAGACCGATGCAAACACAGTATGTCTCCTCCTGCTCAAAGGGGCGATCTGAGATTGCTGGGGTATCCACAACGCTGAGCAAGCCCCTGTCCCCTGGCTCCACCCCTGCAGCCTGTCCTTGCTCCCTGTCTCCATGGCTGCCCCACGTGGACATTCCACAGGGAAGGAAGCTCACAGCACCAGCTCCTCTGTCACTGGTCCCTTTCAAGGCACACCAGGTTTTCTAGGTTTAGTCCCTCTGGGTTTCTGTGGCTGAATGTGTCACAGTGGACAGGGTTACGGGTGCTAGTGTGTCCCTGAAACTCCTGTGCTGGGGTCCTAACCCACCATCTGGGAATGTCACTGTGCCACAGACAGGGAGCCTAAACAGGAATTCACAGAAATGAGGTCGTCCTCGGAGAGGAGAAACACGCCCACCATTGTTCCAGCAGGGCCTCCGCTCCTCAAGGAGAGCAGGGAGCTCAGACCCACCATCCACCCCAACCAGAGAGGTCAGATCCTCCACACCCATGATGGCGACGGCTAACCAAAGTCTCCCGATCGCCGAACAGGCTGGAGTGACAGGCTCCTGAGATGCAATGGATGGTGGGGCTCTGCACCACTGAGGGGGATAATCTACCAATTTCATCGCTGAAAGCAATGAGGGCCCAGCTGGAGAAGCCACATCTCTCTGCTATTCTTCCCTGGCGCTCTGCTTCCCAGCCACCATGAAGGAAACTGCCCGGCCCTTCTGCCATGCTGTTTCCCCCTCGGAGCCAGCTGACCATGGACTGAACCTCTGAAACCGTGAGCCACGCAGAACCCCCCCCCTTCTCCTGAGTTGTGGGTGTCAGCAGTGAGAAAGCTGACAGTACACCACGTGTCCCTTGGAATCAGTCACGGGTGCTGGGTGACCTCATTCACGACAAGGAACAGAGCCAGTGTGTGGGTTCTGTGTTGACAACGCCCTACTCCAGCCGTCCCCTCGCCACTCACACCACGCTCCTCCGTGTCCTCAGAGACCGCACCAGACCCTGGACTGACACTGATGTGTCCCCAAGTGCAGGAGTTGAAACTTCACCCACAGGTGGCGCCCCTCAGTGAGGGTCTTTAAGAAGATGCAGGTCACACACAGACCCTGTGCGGTGAGACAAGAGGCCAGAGGAGCTGCCTCCCTCCTCCGGGTGAGGCCACAGCCAGAGGTCGCCCCGTTGGGCACAGCCTCAGCGATCCAGCCTTCAGCAGACCCCCAGAGGACGGACACCAGGACCTCGGTCTTCCCAGCATCTGGAACGGCGGTGAGTCCCTGTCCTTCATGAACTCCCCACACACAACGAGCCCACACTCACCTTCTGCAAAGTGCATTTCAATGGAAAAATTCCAGCTTTCGAACTTCTGCCGGAGTCCAGCAAACAGCCGGATCCCACACTTGCCGATGTTCTCCTCCCCCTCGACTAGAGCATGGATCTCCTTATTAAATGCATTGATTTTCTGTCCCAGAGAGAAACGGTGAATCAGCACAGATGTTCAGATGCCAGGTCCCACATGCCTTAGGGCAGCTCAGCAGTGTGCCCCCTGGAATGGGGCAGGAAGAGGCAGAGCCTCCAGGAGAACCCGGGCCCCACCTGCCCTGGGACTTAGGTGTGGACCTGCAGAGCCCATGCGGTGAGCAGGACTCCCGCGCTTGTCTCCACCAGGTCCCTTCTCCGTGCTAAGAGGGCAGAGGAGCCCTGTGCCGGTGAGGACAGCCACACAGGTGTCTCCAGTGCCAGGCAGCAGAGCCTCACCTCGATCAGGAAGACCATTTTCTCATTCTCATCCTCTGGGATGTCCCTGCCGTACTTCTGCAGCTCCTCTGTTATCTTCTGGTGACGCTCCTTTATTTTATTTTCCAGCAGTGGCAGAGATTTCTGGGGAAGAGAGACAAAGTGGGACCTACAAATGTGGACGAGGATCACAGAGGAGGCCTGGCCTGCTCTGCAGGGGCTGCCTGGTCCGTGTGACGCCTCAGTGCCCTGCCGAGATCATCCTGGGGCAGAGTGAGGTGCAGCAGGGCCTCCTGTCACCCCAGTGCCATGATCCCTCTCCCACTGCCCAGCCACAAGCCACACAGAGGCTCCTATGTGCAGTGCCCGGCCCGCTGAGGGCCACCGAGGCAGCTCCTTCTGTGTCGCCCTCCACAGGGACAGCAGCCTGATGCTTTGTCAGGAAAAGTGGCCGCTGGGACAACTGCAGACTCCACGACTTTTACACTGTTTTCCACTGGGGCAAAACTAGCAGGACCGGGTTCCCACCCACATGGCCGGCTGGGTGCATGGGCCACACTGGCCCGTACGTTGGCAGGTCCCTTCCTATGCACCAGGTGCCAAGGTGATACAGGCCACCAGGAGGCTGAAGCCAAGACACAAGGGTCACCCTGGGCTTGAGAAGGCTGCAGCGTGCACGCCAGGTTGGGCCTCGTGGAAGGAAGCCTGAGCTCAGGGTCAAGAGCCTGAACTGACGTGGGGGAAAGGACCAGTCCCCCAGCTTGCTCCAGGCTGGGGTCCTACAGGGGAGCGAGCTCCTCCCGAAGGCTGCCCTGTGAGCTCTGCCCTTGCCAACCGAGCCCGGCTGGGGAGGGTCCCTCTCGGGACACAGGGCCCGGCCCAACTTACACAGATGTGAGCGATAAGCTCGGCGGACAATCTCTCCGCCAGGCAGGGGACCGTGGCCTTTCTGTCCTCCAGCAGCACCCTGAGGGGAACAGAGAGAGTCCCTGGGCACACGCGTGGGGAGGGCGAGTCCAGCTCGGTGCCCCCAGGAAAGGGCTGACCAGGCAGAGGCGGCACACGGTGCAGGCTGAGCTCGTCTCAGGCCCTGCCACACTGCTGCATGCTCCTGTCCAGCTCAGTGTGGAAGGCGTCTCAGATCCGCCTAGGGTCTCTAAAAGCCCACACCACATGCGCACCCACAGCACGTGCACCTGCACACAACCCTCCCGCGGGACCAGCAGTGAGGCCCTCCATGTGCACAGGGGCAGGCTGCAGCAGGGAGACCGGCTGGCACTTAACCCAGGACTCAGGGATGGAGGCCATGCTGCCCTCTTATGCTGTCCGATGCTGAGTGCCCGGTGGCTGCTTCAGGCTGCCCTGCTCTTGTGAGGTGGCTACCAGGGGTCACTTATTGGGCCACCTGGCCTCAGGCCCACAGTCTCTGCTTAGTCAGCCGCGCTCAGCTTGCAGGGCCCCCTCCTTCCCGAGGCTGGAGACTCCCGCTCTTGCGCACCCCGCTGTCTCCCAGCCCTGGACCCAGGTCCTTCCCCTCCGGCTGTGTGCGGAGCGCTGTGTGCACCAGAGCCTGCAGTCCTGTGAGACGCTCCTGTGCTTCTGAGCCTCCTCCCCACAGCCCGCAGGGAGAACTGACCCCCAGCAGCGCCACCTCTTGTGCCCTTCCCTGGGACAGGAAGGCGGAGAAGACCCACTGCGGCCCGGCCGGAAATCACGGCCCTCCTGACTTCCGGACTGTGCATCCCTGCTTATAGATGCTTATTAACGCATGCGTGTTTCTGTACAGCAACTGAACCTCGGGGCGCTCTACCGCTGAGCTACATCCCAGGTCCCCCCAGGCCTTCACAGCACTTTTTTTTTTTTTTTTTTTGGTACCGGGGATCAAACTCAGGTCCTTGCACTTGCAAGGCAGGTGCTGGAACCACTGAGCTAAATCCTTGGCCCTATTTTTATTTTTTTTAATGTTGAGAATGGGCCTCGTTAAGCTGTGCAGGACTTGAACTTTCATCCCTTCTTCCTCAGCCTCCCTCAGTGCTAAAGTTATAGGTGTGGGCAACTCCTCTCTTTATTTTTAATTTTAACCTTCAGCGGGTTTTTGTCTATGTTGCATTAAGCATATTAAATGATTATCCTGTGTCAGACTGATGAACTGCAGCCACCCGCTGATCAGAACTGGCACATTTTCCACGGTCAGACACATGCGTGTGGGAGGGTCGGGCTTGCTATCTTCTCGCTTTACTTCTGTCTCTTCCGGTCCCAGGCGCACTGTGTGTACATGACTGTGCCAAGTCCCCTCCTCAGTCTCACTAATGTTTTGTTTTGTTTTGTTATAATACTTTGTGAACTCTCCTTTTATTTTTCCAGGCCATTTCCATGGAAAACACACACACACGTGCGCACACAGCTGCCTTCCAGGGTGAGTTACCCTGGCGGGGACAGGTGGCAGTCCCTGGTGGCACTGTCCCAGGACGGGAAGTGCAGCGCACCTGAAGTGTGGGTGGTCCTCAAAGAAGGCCCGCTCCCTCTGCAGGGCCTCTGCCAGGCTCAGCTGCTCCTGGATGTCCTGCTGGCCACGGCACCTGACCACCATGTAGCCCTTCTTCAGAGGGCACATGAGGTTGTGCACCACATCCACGACCTTGTCCTCGGCGCCCTTGTCCACCAGGTCGGGCTTTGTCAGAATCCCTGCAGAAACTGCGGTCAGGGGATGCTCACGGTCCCAGATGCAGGACAAGGGTGGCTCCTGCCCCGGCCCGGTGGCCCAGGGCTTGGTCCACCAGGCTGGAGAGCCCTGCTGGGCAGCCATGAGGGGACTGGAGCCACCTGCACCACAGGGTCCTCCCCTCCTTCACCAGTGCCGAGCAGGAAGAGCCCCACTGTCCACCCTGCATCTCAGGGACATCTGCTGGCTTCTTGCTCCCTCAACCCCCAGTGAACCTGATGCCCTCCTGGCCTGGCCCTGCCCTCCCACTGCCCTATGCCCACCGCAACAGCAGGTTGAGGGAACCAGGCAAATGCTGGCTGTGGGCATCTTGGTGGCTCCCCTGAGGGGTCCAGGGCTCCACTCTGTAGCAGAGCCAGCCCTGGGTTTGGAGATGCCTCCCCATGGCACCCCAGCGACCACCTCAGCCCAGCTCCTCACCTATGGTCCTGTCTCCGTTGGGGTCCACCTCCTGCGCCATGCTCAGAGCCTCTGTGGTGGCGATGTCCACGTTACTGGGGACCACGACCAAGTTGATGGTCTCGGCCTTTTCAATGTACTTCCTGATGAGCCGCTTGATCTGTGGGAAATGACACCGTCAGCCCCTGAGAGGGGAGGTGGCGGGGGGCAGATCACCCTGACTGCACTTGCTGCATTCTTGGGCTCCAGGCCTGCCTTCCTCTGAGAAGTAAGGTTAGCGAACGGACCCCACGAAGGCCACCCTGGGGCATCTGCCAAGCAGAGGGAGACAAACTAACTTGTCTGCAGCTGTCACAGAGCTGTGGGGTTAGGGATGACCTTAAACTCTCCCCTGAACCCTCAGATCGCAGTACACAGCACAGTCCCAAAAGTGCTGCCTGGCTCCTTCCCTGAACCTGTGCTCAGGAAGTCAGACTCTCCCCTCCTGAGTCTCCATCGCACTGTGCTCACGCTTTCTCCAGGATATGAGCCTTCTCCTCACACACACCCAAGTGGAGGTGCCTCAGGACGGAACCATAGCCAAAACGAGTCATCGCATAAAACAGAAGAACCAGAAAGTCTGTTTCCGGTTGCACCTGCTTGTCTCACTTTCAACATCCACTCGAGGAGCCGCTGAGCACAGGGCTCTCTGAGGCCACACACTCCACATGTCCCTCTCCACACGGCCCTGTACACATGGCCAGCCTCGGGCAGTGCCGCCTGCTCCCCGCCGGCAGGCTGAAGGGGTCTGCAGCCTCACCTGGACACCGATGTCGGCCGGCTGATTGCCCACAGCCACCCGGGTGATCCCGGGCAGGTCGATGAGCGTCAGATCCGGGACGCAGGGGGAGCTGATCTCCAGGCTAATGAGCTCGTCCTTGATTCCCAGCCCGTCCCCGGCGATGAAGTTCTGGGCTGGAAGAGGAGAGGGAAAAGCCGCCAGGGCTCAGAGTGGACACAGCCCATTCCGGGGAAGATGGGAAAGCCCCTCCACTCAGGGGCCCATACAGCAGCCCCTTCCAAGCAGATTGGAGTGGACAGGCTCCTCGGGGACAACAGCACTTTCCAAGCCTGGCCTGCACTGTCCCCAGAGAGGCCGAGGGGCACCATCCAGGGGACCCCAGCCCGGAGCAGTGCCAGCGGAGCCCCATGTCCCTCCCTCCAGGCTGGGGTGACACTCACGTCGGGGAGATGGGGAGGAGTGAGCACACAGGGGATTCCCCCGGACCCGAGCTGCAGGTTGACCTGGGACGGGGTCGCCTCAGGCAGGCTGAGCCCCGGCTGCGGGAGTCCTGCAGGACGCTCGTGTCCCAAGTCTCCCCGATGGACGCCCCAGGGTGGAGCTGCTGGTTCAGTGCTCGCCGACACCCTGTGTTCACATTTGCTTCCCCGTTGTTTGAGACACTGGCTCAGACCCAGAGCACAGACAGGGGGTAACAGCAGGCAGGTGTGAGAAAGCCTGCGAACTGTCCCCAAACCCTGCGCCCGGGAACTCAGGCCATAGACACCTATGAAAACGTCACATGCGATGCCCGGAAGATGGCAGGAGGCAGGGACAGGCGCTTTATCACTGACTGGGAGCCAGAATGTGGCCTTCCTGGCTCCACCATGAAGGCCCGAGGGCAGAGGCTATGCTCGGGGCAGACAGACGAATGGACACAGGAGCTGTGGTCCCTAACCCCAAAGCTTCAACCCAGGGGTGCTTGAGCCCAGCAGCACTTGCGTGACTGAGTCACACCCCTGTCACTGCAGTGCCAGCGCTGTGCCCGCCATGTCTGCCCACTTCCGGGACTTCACCTTTCCTGGGCACATGGGCTGCCTCACACCCACCCTGTCCCTGTGCCCTCTACAGAGCCAGACCCTGCAGCGGGTATGGCAGGGGCCATCAGGAAACCACAGAATGTGAGGGGCCCGTGTAGGGCCTGAGAGTGCAGGCTGGGCGGACAGGTAGGGACCATCACAGCCCCGCTGCAGCTGGACCAGGAGTCCTGCAGATGGGGCACCCGGGGCACTGACCTTTGATGACGGCCCCTTCCACCTTGGAAGCGTCTGCGATGTCCTCCTCCACTTTCAGGTAGCTGAGCCTGCCTCTCCACGCCTCTTCTTGCTCCAGCTTCTTCAGCTTCAGCACCAGAGGGCACCTGGTGACAATGCCTAGGGGCCACACCCCTGTCACCCTCTGCTTGGGCCCTAGAGGTCCCACACAAGGCCCCGGCCAACACTGCTCAAACACTGGGTCCCGGGGCTGGGGTGGGGACAGAAACCTCTCTGTCCTCCCCTCAGAGGAGCTGGCCTCTGTCAGAGTGACCTCGGGCTGGCGTCTGACACAGGCACCCAAGGGATGTTGCTCTTCACGGCTGAAGGCCATGCCCACCTTAGGCTACTGGCTTCCGCCCTCCATCCCGCAGCCTGCTCCGGTGACACTTGCAGTGGGGACGCCTGGAGCATCACTCGCACACGCTCACTACCTCCGTCCCGGCACAGTCCTACGACCCCCACTGTCACCTTCTCCCAGACCCCACTGGTCCCCCACGCCCCACCTGTGTCCCAACTCTGACCTCTTCCCTCAAGCCTTCACCCCTCGGCCTTGCACCCAGCAGAGCACCATTGACCCGGTTGCCAGTCCCTACCTCCCCAGGGAAGGGCTCAGGACGGCCACCCAGAAGGCCATAACACAGGCTGGACCCGTCCTTCCCTCAGACCTGCCCACTCCTCAGGTTCCACGGAGCCCACATACACACGCTCACTGAGACAGTGCTTATGGACTGCATGGTCATCCCCCAAATTCGTATGCAGAAGCCCTCACGCCAGTGTGCTTGTGGGGAGACGGGGCCTCAAGGGATGGCAGTCAAGGTAACTGAGCTCGGAAGGGGTCACAGTGGTGGAGCCCCTAACACTACCACTGGTGCACTCATGAGAGGCGGCAGGGACACCGGGACCCTGCACAGTGGAAAGGCCAGGTGCAGGCAGTGAGGGGCAGACCCCCTGCAAGACATCAATGACCACCACCCTGATCTTCACTCGCAGCCTCAGAGCTGTCCACACATCTGGGCAGCACAAGCCGACTAGAGAGGACGCAGTGCTCACCGCTGCCCCTGGGGAGGGCGACTCCCGACAGAGCCTCCAGCACGGAGCTCTTGCCCGAGCTCTGGTCCCCGATGACCGCGATGGCGGGCAGGGCCAGGTCCTGCTCCACGCCCAGGGCCCGCAGTGAGTCGATGAGGTCGATGCAGGGCCGCACCTTCTCCTCGTACTGCCTGCCCAGGTTGTTCTCGGGCACCTGGGGAGGTGACAATGAAGAATCTCCTCTGTGGGGCCTGTGCTGCTCACCAAAGAAGCCAGGTACAGGGACAGTGACAAACAGGCTACCGGAATTCCAAAAATGGATCGAAAAGTAGACAGAAGAAATATGTGAAGAAAATCTAATACAGTCGAAGTCACTGATGGATGAAAACTGTGAACCCAAAGGTCCAAGAAACCCAAGAGCCCCAGGCATGGAACACAGGGTACAAATCACATAAAGACACAGCGCTTTAAACAGCTCCATCAGTTATGAAGAGAAAATGGAACAGCAGCCAGGGAGCGCAGTGTGACATACAGAGGAACAAAGACAAGCTTGACAGCCGACTCCAAGTCAGAAACAATGTCACCGAGAACACAATGACACCATTTCTGCGATCCATTCTTTGTTGGTATTGGTGACTGACTTAGGTACCTTTCTGTCTTTGCTGAGACAAAATACCCAATTCCCAAAGTGAAAGGAGGAAAGGTTTATTTAGCTCAGTTTGTGGAGGTTTCAGTCCATACTTGACTGGCCCCAAGTCAGGGTGGCATGGCAGGGGATGTCATAGAGGAAAAACAGTTCAAGGTAGGTAGAAGGTAGCAAAGCAAGCAAGGGAACCAACAAGCAGCCTTTTTTTTGGCCCTTTTATATTCTGTCCAGGCTACTGGGATTAGGGCGGTGCCAAATCAATCAGTGGACTGATTTAGTAGTCATCCACCTCTACCCTAGCATCCTTAACTCTAGCCTTGTACTGTGAATCAGTCACACACTCTAGATTCAGCCACCTCTGAAAAAGACCCACATATGACCACATGAGGCTTTTTGAGGACATCTAGACACAAGTCATAACAGTAATGAACCTAGAGACTCAGATGTGCTAAAAATATAGTCTACATTTGAGAGCTGGGCATGGTGGTGCACACCTGTAATCCCAGAACTCAGGAGGCTGAGCGTGAGTTCAAATCCAATTAGGCTGCACAGTGAGTCAAAGGCCAGCCTGAACTGTACAGTAAGACCCTGTCTAGAAACAACAACAATAACAAAACACAAAACAGGTCTGCCTCTAGGCTACAACCTCATTTCTCAACATTTTAGAATTACTGAAAAAACACCATCAACTGACAGTTCTATACCCAGCACAAATATGCTCAGAGATGAAGGCAGGGGTGGCATGTATGTACCTCAGAGGACTGGCAGTGAACACAGAGAGGTTTGGGGCCACTGTGTCTCCAGGTGGGCACCCTTGACTCTTACGCTACAAGCAAGGAGGCCGTGATTGCTACATCTTCATAGTATTTATTAAACTCCCACTTCTTTCATAAAAAGAAGACAGAGGAGAGCTGACATTATCAGCATGGGGCTCTGTGTGTGGCCCGGTGCACACACACACCAGCCCCTGTTCTCCATTGCTCTGGGAGCGCAATCGGTTTTTCGGGTTCTCGTGGCCCATTTTGTGGACTCGTAAATAGAGGTGGGGACCCATGACACAAAGGAGTGGACAGAAAGGAGGTTTCCACTCGGGAGGTTCTCACGCCATGACGGAAGGGGTTCAACTGGGTAAAGGCACAGCTGTTAGTCAAAGATGTATCAAAAGATGCTGAGATTGTTTCTATGCCAACACTGGGGAAAGTGCTCCTAAAATACACGGTTTAACCAGAACATCAAGAGGGGGTGAAAAGAGGACAAGCGCTCAGTCCCAGCTTGGCGCTACCAGAGGTAGAGGGAATATGAGGAGGTCTCCGATACTGGGCCAAGGAGGGCTTTCGTTTCCCAACCATGACAGATCCACTTTCCTCTGTGACACCCTCTCACCACGATGTGCCACCAGGTGTCCAGGACACAAAGACAACTGGCTGAAGTCTTGACACTGAGCTAAGTAAAAATTTTCTCTTTATATGTTCATTACCTCAGGGCTTTTTGTTACAGTCACACAAAGCTGACTGACACAGGCCATGAGCTCATCCTGTGCCACACCCTGAGGGTTACAGCCCAGCAACAGAGATGCTTGGAAGGCAAAGGAGGAAAATGGAAACAGGAACTTTATGGAGTAGAGAGACAGGAGGCTGTTCTCACTGCTCTCTGATCGTCAACACTGTATTAATATCACTGGCAAAACTGTTGAACATTACCTAAAAAATGAGATAGTGCGAAACGGGCTTGTGGTCCAAGATTTAAAACATTATCATAACTAGCACACTTCCTGGGGGCCTGACAGTGGCATTTCCTCCTCTCAAAACTATGTGTGCTCTTTGATCCCACCTTACACACAGAAAACCAGGCTGATACATCGGGAAAGAACTTCCCCAGGTCAGACAGTCAAGAAGGGCAGTGCCTGGTCCAAAGTTGCAGGAACTCATTCCAGAGCCCACGTTCGGTTCCCACTCAAAACAGGAAATCAGATACCACATGGGTTCCCTGGGGAGGAAGTGTCATAAAGAGACTTCATGAGGTTTGTGGCTGGATAATGATCCATGGTATGGACAGGACCAGCAGCATGCTCCCGGACCTGGGGTCCAGCCAGTTCCCACACAAGCCTGTCAGTATCTCGCCTGCTTTCCCAAACCAAGATGGCAGCACAGCCACATTTAGCCAAGGGAAAGGGTCTCCATTCCACCACTGTCCCAAGCACAGTGACCAAGGAAGGGTGAGGAAGCCACCCTCTCAGGAAGGTAGCACCCACCCTCCTCACTGGCCTTCTTCAACATACAAACCCCACTGTATCCCTCAGATAGACACAGCTCCTGTCCACATGGAGAGCAACTTACCGTGGCCTGGGCTTGCTCTCCCTTGTTAGCATCTCCATTGAGTGAGAGATGGCTGGACGTGGTGGCCACACATCGTTTTTTGGCTTTTGGTGAAAAATTTTGCAGCATCTTGTTCCTGTCTCTCCAGTTGCACTCGAGCTTAAGAAAAGATGGCGCCAGCAGGTGAGCACAGTCTAAAGCCCCGAGGCGGCTGCCAGGCCGGGGCTTAGAGCTCATGCCACACACAACCCTCCAGCTGCCCCTCTCTGCGCCCCAACCCCAGACGTGTACCCAGGGTAGCATCAGCCTTCATTGCTCCATCTGGAAAGGGACAGTGGGATGCTCGCCTTGTGTGAGGGCCAGAGAGGTGACCAAGAGGCCAGCAATTACAAGGGTTTCCATGGATTCTGGCCATCTGGAAATTTGTTCCCAAAATAGCTCCCCCTCCCCAGCCAATGGGAAGACCTGGGTCTCAGAGGTCCCGCACACCCAGGTGAGGCCCCTTCTGCCTCTCTGCAGCACTGGTCTACGGAGCTGCCACTGCCTCCATGACCTTCAAGCACCGTGAGGTGGCATCACTGGTCCTACGGCCAGCATCCACAGGACTACGGGACCACAGGACTGGCCAAATAGGACACAGGAGTCTACTGTCTTCCTCACTTTGTTTTGCAAAATGACATCTGAGTTGTGGTTTACATCTGAAATGCCCCCCTTTCCCAGCTGGGGCTGTTATTGGGGTGCAGGACCCATTAATGGGAGTGGGTGCAGTTGGAGAGGCAGGTCCCACACCCTCTTGCTTCCCTCAGGCACCGCCCCCCACACCCCTCATCCCAACCCCACCCGGAGCTCTCTGGAGCCAGAGACTACAGAGCCAGGCAGCCGAGATCTCCAAATCTTTTGAGTTTCTCAGGTATGGGGGTCACCAGCAGGGGCGGAAGCCCGCTCCCCAACCCCGCAGCCAAGCCCTGGGGCTGTGTCTGCGCCCCTGCATCCTGGCTGGCATCACCCTGTCTGTCTGCACTCTGCACTAGGCACCAGGCTGCCCGGTCCCACGGCCCTGAGCACAGCCACCTGTTGGGGCCTGTTGAGTCCTGGAGGTGACCCTGACCAACCCACATTGCTCCTCAGCTGTTCCTGTTCCCCAGATTGCAGGGGGGTCGGGCACCTTCCAGCCCTCCCCTTGATGGCCCTCTTCCCCTCCCAGCTGCAGATCCCATGTACCCAGCCTGGGGGGCATGGGGGTTCCCCCTAGAGTCAGGGTTGGTGAAGGAAACTGACCAGGGGCTCCCCACTCCTGCCCTTGCTGACTCCTGCTGTCCCTTGGCAGGTTGGGGACAGCTGTCCCTCCACCAGATTTCACTAGGGGGCAGTCCCTGTGGTCCCTACAGCAGCTCTGGACACATGTGCATAGCAGACAGGAGCGGGGAGGGGCCTGGCCCCTTCCTGCTCAGGACTGGAAGAGAGACTTCCTGCCAGGCAGGGGCAGCCAGGCCTCAGATGCTGGGCGTCAGCCCTCCAATACTCTGGCTCCCCCAGGGTTAGAATCAGGTCTGAGACTGTGTCCCCTTCCCTTCTGGCCTTTAAATGTTCATGAAGAAGAGAAAGAAAGCCCTGCCAGCCAGAGCCCTGGGGAGGAAGGGATGTGCGGCGGGGCAGGGGTACCAGCTTCTGAGGCCCCAAGCAGACAGGTGACACCTTCAGACTGCTAAGATTCCTTTGGGTGCCTCGGGCAGGGTTAGGTTTGCTGGGTGCCTTAACACCAGTGACCCTGCTTCCTAGGAAAAGCTCTGCTCCCAGCGGATCCCATAATTCCGAGAGCCCACCTAGGCAGCTTGTGGCCCCCTAGATGGGGGCAGGCTCCAGCAGCACCTGGGCCCCTCCATCCCCACCCACACCCACACCCACACCACTGTGGGGACCTGGGTGGACCCTGAGGACCGTGTCCTCCCCCCAGGGTCTCCCCGGGGTCTCCTGTACCCAGGCAGTGAGCTGCGAATTTGTGTTGCCCCAGCCCCCAGGGGCCCTGACAGTCCACTCCTCTCTGCCTTCCCGGGGTCGGATGTCGCCTCCTCCGCAACCAACACAGTGCACAGAGCCAAGTCTGTGTTTGGGGGTTCAGGGGCAGCAGTGGATCGGAAGCCCGCTAGGTGCCCCCACCCCAGTCCCTGGGGCTCCCTAGCCCCGCTCCCTGTCCGCCTGCAGCAGGAGGGCCCGGCAGGGAGCGCTTGGCGGGACAGGACTGGAAGGGGATCTGTACCCACCCGGCATCGCCGGTCCCCGTTACTCTCACCGTTACTAGCACTCAGAGGCGCCAGCTCCCCACCCCGGGAGCCGTCCCATGACGACCCCCTCCCTGCGCGTCCCCTGCCCCGTCCCAGAGACCCCAGGCGGCGACACTCACCAGTCACGGGGCAGTGCTGGATGAGGGGCCACCAGCCCAGCTTATGAGGAGTTCCGCCCTGCCCCGCCCCTACGCCGAGCCGGAGGAGGCCGGGAGCAGAAACGCAACTGAAACTGGAACTCATCTGGGCCGGTTCCAGGACAGGCTGCCTGGGGAAGTCAAGGCCCTTTGGGAGCTGCAGGTTTCTGCCTCCCCAGCCTTAGCTCAGCTCCCAGTCTTCCGGACATTCCCAGGTCTGCAGTGAGGAGCTACCCCAGCCAGATCCACCCAGCTGGGTCAGGGAGCCTGGAGAGCCTGAGTGACCCAATTCCAGGGCTGGGGATCCGGGCCGAGGCCCACAGTGGCCAGGGCCCTAGGCTGTGCACTGCCCACTCCTGGGATCCGGCACCCACAGACCAGGTCTGAAGGGGAAGCCGCACTCCCCCAGGAGCTTCCTGTGCCCATGCCAAGCCCTCTGGGTCCTCCCCTGCCAGCTAGGAACCATGGTGACACCAGTCCCTGGGGCTCTGAACTCAGGGGCTGAGGCTGTCTGCAGGAGGACAGGCTGCTGCCTGCAGGCCCACAGCTCACTCTGGGCCGGGCCAGGAACCACAGGCTCTTTCAGGACAGGGTCCAGATGGTCCCAGGCCATCAGAGATGAGGGGATTCACATCTCCCCAGGCCTGGGAGGGCAGACAGCGAGGTGTCCAGGTTGCAGATCGCTCTGGGTCGGTCCAGGCGCCTCCTTCAAGGTTACGCCACGAGCCTCTCCTGCCTGTACTCCCTCCAGGGCCCTGGATGTGGGACCTGGTCCCTTCTAGGGGTCGAACAGTCAACATGCCCCAGAAGGCCACCTTTCCCCTCCCAAAGTGCCGCCTTCCTTGCTACCTCTGCCCCCTGGTGAGGACAGTTCCTAGGTCCCCCGCAGCCAGTCTTCAGAAGTGCAGACCCACACTAGGGTCAAGATGTCTTAAAGGCAAAAGATACCAGTGGATAATCAGAGGCCAGTTGTTGAAATATCGGGCTCTTGTGTCAAGAAAGTGTGAGAAGGAGGGAAAATGAGTTCTGTGTTGATCAAACAGCTGTAAAGCGGCAAGAAACATTTTTATTTTCTCAGAGGTAAAGTGATTCACAGCGTAGATTTAAGGAAGGAAATAAATGAATGAGATCTAAAGAAGGGTGATACAATGGGTGAAATTTTGCCAGTAGGTTAAAGGAAGCTGCAGAATGTTTGCAAAAGGTGCAGCTTGCGGCAGGGAATGTGTGTGTGCTGTGTAGCTGGCTGCAGCTCCAGGAGGAACCAGGAAGGTTACTGGCTACCGTGAAGGGTCAGCTTCCGGAGCAGCACCCCAGGGTGCTGACTGAGGGAGGACAGGGGCCCAAACTCAGGGGAATCTCAGATTCCCACGGGGCCGGCTCAAAGTCCACTCCTGCCGGTGAAGCGCTGCTCGAGGCCTCTGTGTCCTCCCAGTGGCTCACCTGACACAGGAGCGCTGCTGGGGGCCTCAATCCACCCTTCTGCGGGTGTCCAGGGTGTTGTCAAACAGCAACAAATTTCAGGTTAATTTTAGCTGAATTTTAATACCAGGCTCTCCAGGAAATTCCCTCGAGGAAGGGTAGATCCTTATGTCCCCAGAAAACACAATTCCAAATTAATATTGGGAATCCTTAGCCAGGAAACAGAAAAGAAAAATGTCTGAGGAGACAGGAAAGGAAAGCAGAGGCAGAAACAGTCAGGTTTAGAAGAGAAGACAGAGCGGCGTGGGCGGGGAGGGCCACACAGCTGGGAGGGGCTGAAACCAAGGCACCTTCTACCAGGCGGGCTGTGAGCGTTGGGCGGGATAAGCGATAGCAACCGGCCCAGACCCCTTCGTCCTGACGTGGGCCAGGCAGGGAGCCCCTTCCTTCTCAGCATCTGAAGGGCATGAGTGGAGAGGGCGCTGCGCCACAGTCGGCTCCACCAGTGGCGTGGAGAGAGGTCCTGGACGCCCAGGGAGCACCGGAAGTTCTCTGGGACCACAGGGCGAGGGGCGGGGCGAGACAGCTGTCCGTCACTCCGTGAGGCCCCGCCCCCCGCTGGGCGGGGTCAGGGCTGCCGGCCGTTCTGGAGCGGTGGG